GGTTATTATTGGTTTTAATATTTCTATTTTCATTTTGGTTTTCTATTTTACGAATTGTAAGATAGAGTAGTGCTGTGACACTAATGGGAGCGGAATACAAATTGAATAAATAAGTTTCCGGAAATACAGCCGGTGAGTTAACGGAGGAACACATCATATATGAAATTTTGTATGGTAGTGCTCATTTCCTGAGTTGTTCCTATCAGCAATTTCTCTTTTCAACCTTTATTTTTCTTGTCCTACTGGATATCAAAGAAATACAACTTTGCCTACCTTTTCAAATGTCATTTAATTTCTTGATACAGTGTAACTATTTCCAGACATAGACCAGTTCTATTTTCCTAAACGTTACTGAAAAGAGAAGAATCCAGGATAGAAGAGAATAAAATTCAAGACTCTGTTCTACAAAGTCCTTACTGCTGTGCCACAAGGAAAATCACTGTGGCAAAACTATCCAAGACCTGAAGCAATGTCCAAGGATGTTTTGTATTCCACATTTGAATGTTCCGTTCAAACATAGCATTCTTTGCGTGATTAGAAATCATTCAGAACTAAGTGATTTTAAAAAGTTGGTTTAGAGCTAGAGCTAAAAGTCAATTAAGTGTCACAGATTCATAATCTGGAAGCTATGGTCTGTTACCTTCACAGACATGTGACAAGCTGCATGTTGGTAGCAAACCTCTCTGTGTATCCATGTTTTGCTTTCGTCTTTCAAGCCCCAGTGCAGAGACACCGGGTAGAGTGCTTGGGGCCAGCAAAAATATCCCACCCTGATATATATAACCTATTCTTTGCATCAAACAAAAACAAAACAATTTCAATTGTGTTTAGAGAGACGGTTGTGGTATGTAACAATGTGACGCTCTAAACACAGAAATAGGTTTGTGGGTCCCTACCTAGAAACATCTATAGTGGTGCCTCGCAAGACAAATGTAATTCATTCTGCGAGTAGCGCTGTCTTGCAAAAGATTCGTCTTGCGAAAAGCAGCTTCCCATAGGAATGCATTGCAATGCATTCCTATGGGAACCTTGCAAGACGAATGAATTTTTTTCATCTTGCAAGGCATCGGTCTTGGGGAAAAAATTGTCTTGTGAAGTACGGCCATAGAAGAAGCCATCTTGCGAGGCACCGTAGCAATCGCAAAAACCATTCATCTTGCAGGTTTTTCGTCCCGTGAGGCGTTCGTCTTGCGAGGCACTACTGTACTTCCAATGTCAGTCTCTGTGCATACTCTGTAGGAGAAATAAAAGGTAATAATTACTAGCTACTGTCAGATATTCCATTCCTGGACAAAGTGTGATGGCTTCTTACATCCAAGAGCTCCTGGATTAAACGGATTGTCGAGATCTGTTATCTAGATCCTGCTTCATGACTATTTATGAGACTGAGACAACTTTACTCACATTGTGGGATGACCTTTACTGGGAACTGGACAGGGAGAGTGGTTCTGCTGGACCTTTCACGATACCACGGGCTCTCTCTGGATAGAAATTGGCCCTGTATTATTGTAGGCCTGATCCAGGAGAGACAACTTCAGAAGGTGCAGCTGGGGGACTGACCATTGGCCTGGGATGTCCCTCAGGGTATAATTGTTATAATTATAATAAGGAGATCCCCCACCTCAAAGAAAAAAACATTGTAACCCCTATGTTATGTTGGTTCAGACTAAAGGGGTGAAATTGAGAAAGAGCAAAGCTGTAAGTACAAAATCTGAATGAAAATGGGCAGGAGAACTGAAGGAACCAGTGCTGGTGTGGCCACTTCATCTATTGATGTTCTTGCCAACTTGGTTTAGGTATAATTCTTAAATATTTGTATTGGAACTATGTGAATCCACATAGTGAAATGATAAATTGTATAGAATTGGATTGATATTTTACTTTAGGGCCTTGAAGAGTCCACATGTGGAGCCAATTCTTCTAGGTACAGTGGTGCCTCGACTTACGACCATAATGCGTTCCAGAAGATGGGCATAACTCGAAATGGTCATAAGCCGAAGCACCATTTCCCATAGGAATGCATTGATATGCAATTAATCCATTCTGGCTGAAGGAAAAAAATTTCCAAAAAAAAACATCACTGCAAGACTCATTGGAAAAACGATTAACCCCTTCTGGCCGAAGGAGGGGGGGGGAGAACAGCAATCAAGAGTGCAAGACCCATTGGAAATGCACAGAAAACAAACAGAGCAGATCGGAAATGCACAGAGAACAAAGGGGGCAGGTCGGAAATACAAAGAAAACAAAGGAAAAAGCAAGGAAAGCA